AGTAAGTTCTTAGCCAATTTTTTAAAATTGTGTGAGTCTTATAACTTTTTTTCAAGATTTCTTTGGCTACTTGAGACTTCCTACAATTTGTATATATGATTTGAGGATTGTCGTTTCCATTTTTGTGAAACACTGAAATTGTATTAAAACTCTTCATTACTTTGTGTGATATTGCTATATTTTACCATCATTTTTGTGAACATGAGCTTGCTTTCCACATTTTAGATTGCTTAAGTTCTATTCAACAATATTTTATGCTATTCAATGTACAGATTTTTACATCCTGGATTAAATTAATCCTTTAGTAAGTATTCCTAATTGTAAATAGAGTCGCTTCCTTAATTTCCTTGTGAGCTTGTTTGCTGCTAATTTATAGCAACACAGCTGTTTTGTGTTAATCTTGGGATCTGCAACTTTGCTGAACTTCTAAGTTTAGTACTTGCAGATTCTTTGGGGTTTTCTATATGTATGCTCATATGCTACATGACCCTAATGATGGTATCTCTCCTTTTCAAGTTGAATACATTTGATTTCTTTTTTTCTAATAGCTTTGGCAACTCTTGCAATTCGTTATGATGGCCATTCTTAGTTGTTAACTTGAATATATCTAGAATTAATTAAACCCCCAAGTGGCTGGGCACACCCATGATAGAATTTTCTTGGTTGAATCATTTGAAGTGGATCTTTTGAGGTGGGAAGAGCCACCTTAAATCTGGGCCACACCTTTTGGTGCAGCTTATATAAAAAACATGGTAGAAGGGAGCAATTGCCCTTTGCCTGCTTTCCATCAGGAGACAGCCATTGTTGGAATAGCCTGGCCATAACCTGTAACCACTCTATTAAATCCCATACACACCTATATTCTTTCTATCAGTTCCAGTGAAGCCTGACCAATAAGACTTTGGTACCAAAAGAGGTTCTAGAGCAACAGAAGTATAAGAATGAATATTAAGTAACTATAATGGCTTTCCAATTTGCCAACACCTACAGTTACAGAAGCCTCTCGGTTGTGAAATGATCTTTTTGTACACTTTGAAGATGTGTTGCTCTCATTGATTTAATAAAGAACTAAATGGCCAAATGTGGGGAAGAGAGCTTGGGGATGAAGAAGGTTGGAGTCACCAGGAGATGCTGGAGAAGCCAGGCAAATAAGTCAGACACACAAAATGGGATAGAAATAATAAAGCCAAGAGGCAGAAAGTAAATTAATAGAAATGGTTTATGTTAAGAGAGATACTTAGAAACAAGCCTAAGCTATAAGCTGATCTTTTATAATTAGTGAAAAGTCTTTGGGTGGTTATGTGGCAGCTGGCTGGAGGGAAAGGAAAGTCTGCCAACACCTCTTCCATTACTACACCTCCTCCTAGAAGTTTGGAGAGCCCTACATACCGATGGTGTGAACTAGTTCACAAACTTATTTAGACAGGTGCATTTAATTGCGCTGATGCACCTATTGTGAGAAGAAGGGATCTGGTGACTCTACATAAAACTTTCGAGAGTCTGCAGGATCTCAAATGATGCTAGTATTTTTGGATGTGATGGAATTAACCAACCTCTGACATCTACGGATGCCGTGATGAAGGCCAAGAAGGAAATATTTAGGAGGTAGTGCCTAGTTGGAGGAATTGAGGCACACTCTGACAGGACAGATCACATCCCTGTTCCCCAGCCCGTTCTCTGCCACAAAGTCAGCCTCACCTCAGACCCAGGGTGATGTGTGCAAGCAAACATGCGCCGGACCCTCTGAAACCAACCAAATCCAACCTTTCCTACTTTTAGCTGATTTTATCAGTATTGGTAACCATGACGGAAATCTGAGTAACATCAAAACTGGTGTGGTTTTGTAAAACTATTATCGCTCGGATAATCTGCCTGCCCACTTTTTCCCTGTCCTTCGGCGACACTAGGATTCTTATGTTGACTTACTTGATGTTCTACAAGCCCCTTAAATTCTACGAACTCTTCTTTATTTTTTTCATTCTTTGCATTAAGCCATTTTAATCAATTCTAGCTTCTATTAGTTTGTGCTCACTGATTCTTCTTTCTGCTCAACTCCACTCGGATCCTTGCAGTGAATTTGTTTTCATTTGTTTGTATTTACTTTCCCTTCTGTTCCAGAATTTCCTTTGACTCTTTTTTAAAAATTTTCAGCTCGCTATGCGCATAACAGCCACACTAGGCTCTTGCACCACCAGAGCCACGCATCCTCAACTGTTGTCTCGTTCTCTTTGGACATCACCTTCTGATACACCTTTAGTTCTCGACACGTAGGACCAACAGTTTTGGAGTCTAATGCTAAAGGCTTTTTTTAGAGACTGTTACTATTGATTTTAATTTGTCCCTTTCAGTGTGTGTGTGTGTGTGTGTATGTGTGTGTGTGTGTGTGTGTGTGTGTGTGTGTGTTTCTGGTGTGGATATACTGATTTACATGTATGTACATGCATGTGGAGACTAGAGTATAACCTCAGGCCATCCACCTTGATTTTTTTTTTTTTTTTTTTTTTTAGCCCAGGGTCTCTTACTTGCTTGGAACTTGCTACATAGGCAAAACCAAGGAGTACCAGGCGTTAGCTTGTCTTTGCCTCCCTAAGTACTGGGATTACAACACATGCTACTGCACCTGGCTTAAAAAAGGGGGGGGAGAGGTTTCTAGGACTCAAACTCAAGTCTCCTCATGCTTGCAAAGTAGCCCTTTCCTGACTGAACTGTCTACTCAGCCCAGATTTGTTCCTTCTAATACCTTCCTGTTTCTTTTTATGCTTCCGAGTCTTAGTTTTGCTTGAAAACTGGACATCTGAATCTTATACTTGATTAACTTTGGTTTGAAATTACTGCTGAAGTTTGTCTCTATTCCAGGGATTAACCAGAATTTCAGGCTTCCTTGGGTCTTCTCTGAATCTGTGCTTTCCTTGGATATGTATGGTGAATTTTTCCTAAATGCACTCATATACATGGTTGCCTCGACATATCCCAACCCCTAAGAACCTGCCTCTTAGCGGGAAACATGGAAAGTAGGGAAAAGATACTTCTGTGTCTCCAAATGCTATGGATTGAAATGGTCGTGGTAGGCCTGTCCAACTGCCACTCTTCTCCTGGAAAACAGACTCTAGAGTCCCTGACAGTATCTTCTGACACTCTCTGCTGTCACAATTGTCCCCAAGGCAAAGGTGAAACCCTGCTGAGTCCTACTCCACTGACTTCCCAGACACCATCTTAGCTTATCTTTCCTAGAATTCTTTCTTAGACAAGGAGGAAGTGCTTACCCTCCTCAGGACTCTCAAGGGCAAGCAGAATGTTCCCCAGATTCTGCTATTGAGAAGGTGGACAGGCCCTGGAAGAAAGTGGGACCTCAGGATGAATTTTCTGCTGTCTCAACAGCCATGCTGCCTCGAGTGAAGGTACTCCTTCTAGAACGGAAGTTCTGACTTTTGGGCTTCCTTTTTTCCTGGGGGCTAGTCTCTCCTGCCTGTCTCTTTCACTTCACTGGGTTGTTTGGATAGCAGATATAACACAACCTCTACCTGAGGCTCATGTGATTGTTAATCTTGTCATATTTACTGCATTCAAATGACATAAGAGACACAGGGACAAGTCTAAGCACCTGTTTGAGAATGTTGTTTTAGAGAGAATTAACTGTAGAGAAAAGTCTGCCTTCAACCTGGGTATCACCATTCTGCGGGCCGGGGGAGGAGAGGCAGCTGAGCACTGTTTCCTCGGCCTGCCCTGGTGTAATCTGCCTCGGTTTACTTTGCTCTTCCTACCTTGATGGACTGACATCTATGGAACCATGAACTAAACTAAACTTAACAGCTTCTCCCTCCTGCTAAGTTGTCTCTGTTAGATATTTGGTCACAGTGGTGTGAAAAGCAACAGACTTTGGGAGTTTTTTGTTTTGTTTTTTTCTCAGAGTGCACTTAGAATGAAGAGGTCCTGACAACTTGAACAGCTGATCAAATCTAATATATTTAAGTGGAATGTATAGCCCAGTCTTACTTTTGCCTAGGCCTTTCTGCTTTGTCCCTAAAGGTGATAGTTTTTGTGATCTTTATTGTGTCTCAGGACATCTATATCCCATATATAATGCACTGGATGGGACATTTACATAGGTTCCTCACTGAAGTTTACTGCAAGAAGCCTCATTTGAACCTAACAAATTCACAACTGTGTGAGAACTTTAACCAACACATTTGTGTGTGTGTATTAGAGCAGTAATTCTCAAGCCTTGCTACTCTGGAGACTCACCCAATGAACTTCCCCCAAACCCTGATTTCTACGCTCCAACCACAGATAATATTGCTTTTCTAAGTTTGACATGGAAGCCTGAACCCTACCTTTTCAAAAGCTGTCCAGGTAATTTTTGATAACAAAGCCAGTGTATAATCACAGCCCTCTGGCTATTATTAAGAAAATTCGGTGGTTGACATAGAATGTTTGGGGCTAGAAATACTGCTCAGTATTACAGCAGCATAGGCAAAGCATCTCCAGGAAGGGAGTGAGGGACAGGATTGCTTTGCTTTTACTTTCTGTTTTGGCTACAGTTGTATAGGCTATAGTTAAGAGCAAGGTTTTAAAGTTTACAGGTTAGGTCTTAATTCCATCATTGCCAGCTTACTGTCTTTTTAGACAAATTACCTAATCTTTAAGCACTTTAGTTTCTTGATCTATAAAGAGGGAAATGTTAGGGTTACTATGAGCATTTATGCAGACCGCATGACACAATATTTGTACTGTAGCTCACATTTTGGCCGCTTTTTTGGTTTACAAGAGCACCACTAGATTCGTTCCAGTGCAGCAAGTCTATTTCAGGCACACCTCCTCCATCTGGCTCTTGGGAGGTTTCCTAGCGCACATTCCAGGGGGCATCCCAGGATGTGGACCAGCGCAGGCCTCTAGTGTGGTGGCCGCAGTGCACGTCCACCAGGGGGCGCCCGAACGATCTGAGCTCTTGCGCCAACCGCACGGCACCCACGCGCGTGCTCACTGGGGCTGCGGAACCTTCGCCTCCGCCGCCGCGGCTTTCCGTGTGGGCTCCCGAACTAGACTTCAGTTTTCCCGCTGCCTCGCCCCTGGCTCACCGGGCGGCAGCACCAGCGACTGCGCTGCGCCGGCCTTCGGAGCTTGGGCGGCGGACGCTCCGGGAGCAATGCTGCGCTGGCTGATCGGGGGGAGGCCGCGAGCCGCAGGGCCTAGCCGAGGTAATCCGCGCGGGCCGGGCTGGCTGCGGGGCGGGTCCAGGCCGCGGGGCGGGGCCAGGCCGAGGGGCGTGATAGGGCCGGCTGAGGGGCGGGGCGGGGCCAGCTGAGAGGCGTGGTGGGCCGGTAGAGGGGCGGGGCGGGGCCGGCTGAGGGGCGGGGCACTGTGGCGAGCAAGTAGCCTGGGGGACTGTAGGGCTGCTCAGGGCCACCTCGTGTCAATTTAGAGAAGCAGGGGTGACTGACTCTCTTGAAGACATCGACTGGCATTTGCTTAAGGATTGTGGAATTCACTAGTTGCTTTTCGAAAAACCAAGTCAAGAAAATGATTTCTGTGTATTTGGTATGCGTATGGTCTCATTGCCACACTTACTTATACTTGAAATAGTAAAATGATTTTGCCACCTCATCTGAAATTTGTTTCATGTGCCACCTGAAACAATCTGTGTTGCATTTTTTTTTCTCATAGGAAGCATTTTTACAATTAGGGTTATTGTGAACAACTTGGCAGTTTTAACTCAGGTTTGTCATTGACGCTGTGATTTACAACCAACCCAAACCAAACCATTGTATGAGTTCATTCTTTCTTTCCATCTTGAGGGCCCAGGGATGAACTTGGGACTTAGACTTGTGACAAGTGCCTTTACCTGCTGAGCTATCACTGTGGTCTCCAACAAATTTTGATTGAGAAACGCTCCTTAAAAAAATGAGTGGGTTTGACTCAATAGTTTTAAAGTCAGGCTTATTGAGACTCAACAAAATAAAATTTACTGTTTGTAAGTTTACTGTGGCTTTAAAATACTGAAGATTTTGGTAAGAGAAATAATTCCATGAAGAATGCAAATAATCCACCTGATAGTATAGGAACATGTATATGTATTACTATTAGAGTGTATTATCCTGTGTCTTTTAAAATCTTCTGTTCTTACACGGATACCATACAGTTGTAAATCATTTTGTCTTTCTGATTTTGCTTTGTTTTTTTTCTATTACAAGAAAGCTGCTTTGCAGACAATAGGAGAAGACCAAAGTCAAAACCCCTACACTGAGCTGCTGGTCCTGAAAGCCCATCGAGACATTGTCCGGTTCCTGTTGCAGCTGGATGACAACAGGTAAGAGACTTACCCTGGCGAGTGGCCACTGCTTAGAAAGATGTGTTAGAGCGTTTCTGTTAAAAAAAACACCTTCAAAATTAATTCATCTTTTGTAAAAAAAAAAAAACAAAATATCAAGATTCTGATGATAACTGGAGAAACTCAAGCAACTGAAAGTAGAAAGTTGAAATGGACTTTGAACTCTTGAAAATGTGGTTAACCCCAGTGTCACCTTGTCATGTCTGCAGACTTTTGGATTACATTTATTTGCTTTTTTACTTGGTGTTTTGGAAAAAAGTTGTCATGAGGTTTTAGAAATATTCTTACTGGCTTAGAAGAAGCAAATGCCCTTAAGGATTTGATTTTATAGCTGTCAAATCTGAGGAAAAATATGGTGTTTAAATATTAGGTATCTGCTAGGATATGCTTGTTGTGGCATATTACTTTAGCTAGGCAAAGATGTGTCACATGTGTTTATGTGGTGGAATATTACCTTAACTATGTAAAGATGCATTGCTTTTTACATAGTTTTTGTAAAGTTTTTCCTTGCCTGCCTAAGACACCTGATTGGCTTAATAAAAAGCCGAATGGCCAATAGCTGGGCAGTAGAGGGATAGGTGGGGCTGGTGGGCAGAGAGAACAAGTAGGAGGAGAAATCTAGGTTTGAGGGAGAGGAGAGAGGAGAGAAGGAGGGAGAAAGAGGGAGACAAAGGGGCAGCCAGCCAGGTAGCTACCAGACAGACAGACACAGAGTAGGACATACAGAGTGAAGAGAGGTAAAAAGCCGGAGGCAAAATGTAGATGAAGAGAAGCAGGTTAAAGTAAGTTATTAGAGCTATTGGGGCCAGCAAATGATGAGGCCAAGCATTCCTAACTAGTAAGTCTCTGTGCCATGATTTGGGAGACGATTGGTGGCCCAAAAGAAAGCCTGCTATATATGCTGATTTAGTGGAAGGTAAAGTAAGGTTTTAACTTGGATTTCTGTCATTGATGAACCTCTTTAAACGATACATCATTCTCCAGCTCCTGGGAAGCCGTGTTTACCAGCTTACCATATTTGTAAGTGGAGACAAAGGTGTTCAGGTCTGGGGCGGAGTACTTAGCTTATCACTAAGCTGGTTTAGCTGCAGCTGCATCACTGATGGTGTCATTTCTGAACCTGATCTGGAAGTGCCATGAGAGTGAGGACTTTGCTCTTACTTGTTATTAACATAGCTGTTGAATGAGTGAACGACTCCCCAGCTTATTAAGCACCTGGCCTGCAGCCCACCCTGACCTGACCTGCAGCCCACCCTAACCTGGCCTGCAGCCCACCCTAACCTGGCCTGCAGCCCACCCTAACCTGGCCTGCAGCCCACCCTGACCTGACCTGCAGCCCACCCTAACCTGGCCTGCAGCCCACCCTAACCTGGCCTGCAGCCCACCCTAACCTGACCTGCAGCCCACCCTAACCTGGCCTGCAGCCCACCCTAACCTGGCCTGCAGCCCACCCTGACCTGGCCTGCAGCCCACCCTGACCTGGCCTGGCTCTGCTGGCCCTGCAACCCCTCTGTGATTTCACTGCTGTTTTTCTCTGAGCTCCCGAGTGACTGCAGCTGTGACTACTGTAACCCTCATACTGCTGTCTGTTGACTGTCTTTTCACATTTTTATTGTGTGTAGTTTAATTGTGACACAAGTGACATGAGACCAAGTTTCAGAGATAGAGTTCTTCCCAGCATTCCTCTCACCTCCAACACCAGCCGTCGCCTGTGTCTCCACTTCATCTGCACTTCTGACCAGCTAGCTACAAATCCCAACTGCTCCCGAGGGTTTGAAAATTCATGGAAGGACTCAGCAAAGAATTATACTAATGGTTACAGTCTTATTATAACTTAGAAATCAAGATCTGCTGGGTAGATTGCACGGAGGGAGGCTGAGTCCCAAGTGCAGAGCCTCCAGGTCCTCAGGGATTGCTGTCTTCCTGATATATTGTGTGTACTGCCAAGATGGATGCTCACTGGAATGCTGGGCTTGCAGGATTTGAGTGGGGTGCCGTTGTGTAGGTTTGTGCGGTGAGTCTTCCTAATCACAGAGCTTCTGGTCTGCTCTCCTTGGTGTCGCAAAGCCCAGGACTTCTCACGGCCCACCTCTTCAGCATAGCCCACCCCCTTCGACACCACATCAGCCGTTAGCATGAATATTGGAGCCACTTTTGTCACTACAGAAATTTCAGGGATTCAGAGGGCCACTTCTAGGAACTGAGGGCCAAGACCAACAAAATACTTGTACAGTATGTTACTAGCCAGATTGCATTGTTTTCTTATTGTACCGGAAGACAACCAAGGCACGGCATGGAAGTATACATAACCTGCTTGAGACTTTGGTTAATATTTGTTTTCACTATAGTTCGGAAGTATAATATTCACCTGTTTAAGCAACCATTTCTGTGGGAAACGGCATTACTGCAAAGGTAGAGTTTTTGGATAACTGAAGGTTTCATGTATCATATTTTATCCTCATAAGTTGCTGGGTTAAACACATCCAGATAATAACTTCTAGTCACTATTACATAGGCCTTAAGGAGTTCTAAAATCCATGTGTGGACTACTAGGTCCTGTTGTACATGGTGACTGTAGGAGTAGGGGGTAAATTATGGCCTTGTTTGCTATGTGCCACAGTAAATCTCAGTGTCTAGAATGGCTAGCCTTTTGCCTTTAGCAGTACAGTGGTCACAGATCTTCAAGAATCACTTTGAATTATTTCTGATCAAATCACTAATGTATCAAAATTTACATGTAGTTAAAAAAACTCAATTGCGGACCTGTAGAACATTGAATTTCTATGTTCTTTAAAAATTTTATTCTGTAGCAAAAAATTCTCAAAAATAGAGATATAACAAATATATGAAAAATCTATTCTTTACAATATTAGGAGAATAATTAGATCTCAGTGACTTTACTGTTAAAGAGTGGAGCTCTTCCCCTCACACCTGTATTGGAGATTGGAGGGTTCATGCATTCCAGACAAACATTGTACCAGCTGAGCCATGTGCCCAGCCCCCAAAGTGCTTTTAAAAAATTTATTAAGTAATGTTGTGCCTGTTGATGGGATGTTTTCATTCCTAATAGTTCAGTTGGGATTATATTTGTTTTAGTACACTGCCAAATTCCAGAAAATACTTACTTTTTAAATAAATTCTCTGTGTTATACTTTTTATTTATTTATTTGTAGTTTTTGTAGGTGTTACATTCTAGTTGGTCAGCTATTGTAATCCAGGTTTCACGCTTCATGTCTTTAGATAATGTCATCTGATTGAAAATTTTGCAGAGGGATTTTCTTGTTTTCTTGGTGGCTCACCTAAAATCAGTGAGTGGAAAATTTTCTCGATTGGTTTTTGAAGATACCAGATAAATCCTGTATATCACCTAACAGACAGCGGCCTTTTCTTCTCCTTTGGTATTTTTTTGAACACAAAGTGAGGGTCATATTGATTGGGAGATCTTCTTCAGAAGGCTAGCCTCAGCAGGAATCTTCCAGAACATGGACTGTGCTGAAATTGCGTGCAGCGGTGTATCGCTGACACCACACTAAACTGAGTTCAGGGCACACTCTAAGACCGGCTTGCTCTGCCACTCATTTGACCATTCCTCCCTTCTCCAGGAAACAGACAAGTTTATGTAGGATGGTGATCATGACTGGAAAAGAATCCAGTGACCCATGAAGCACCGGACTGCAGGAAAAGGTGCTTTTTGGGAGCTGGTGTGGCAGAATTTTTAAGGTTGTTTGGCAACCTACGGAGAACAAAAAGTGGGCTCTCCCGTTAAGAAGGTATTTTTAAGTTAATATCCCTTTTCATTTACCACGTTCAGAGAATAGAAATCAGTAATCAGAATGGCTCAGAGAGGTGAGCAAGGTAACACATGCCTGTAATTTTTGCATTAGAGAGGCCAAGGCAGGGGACTAGAAGTTTTGAAGCCAGCCCGGACTATATACTGGGCTCTAGGCTATAGCAGAACAACATCCTTTCTCAGAAAAACAATTTTAGAAATTGTACTGAAAAATCATTGGCAGTCAGTCAGATTAAAGAGGCAGACTGTTTTGAATTTTTGAGTTGCTGTGGAAACACTGTAATATGTTAAATGTTTGCATTATTAGAGAGGAAAAAAGACAGGATTGGACAGGGGATGCTGAGACCTGGTTCTGCCCCATGGGGAGTCTGGAGGAAGGATTGCCCCTTGTGTTGGGTGCTTTCTCTAGATGGAAACAGTGAGGGTTTGTGTCACTTCCCTTTATGGTCTTTTGCTGAAATTCATCTAAGTAGAACATGCCCCTAATTCTAATGTCTTGTTTAGTGCCCAGAGAGTTGAAGCCAGTCCAGTTTGAGTTCGAAATGGACCTGAAGGCCGGGCGGTGGTGGCGCACGCCTTTAATCCCAGCACTCGGGAGGCAGAGGCAGGTGGATCTCTGTGAGTTTGAGGCCGGGCTGGACTGATAGCCTCTGAAACAATACAGAGAAACCCTGTCTTGTAAAAACCAAAAAAAAAAAAAAAAAAGAAATGGACCTGAAGTTCACAGCTGGAGGCGGTTGGGCAACATGTTCCTCACAGCTGGCCAGCAGGTCCCCTCTTGAAGTCTGGAAGGTGCTTATTTGGACCTGATAGACTCCAATATTGTATGTTGGCAATTTCATTTTAAATGACATAAACACAGTTATGTGGGCCTTTGGGCAGCTTTTAAAGAAGCTATACCTAGGAAAAGCTATAAATAGAGCCCTTTTTGTCACAAGTTTTAGTAGCCAGTTATTCACAGACTTTGTAGCAAGTTGCTACAGTGTATTCCTTCCAGTCTGGCATTCTGACTCATTGTAATATAATAGATTTTGTTAAAACCCGATTAATGCCAGTAAGACAAAACCCACCTTGTTCTGTTCTAGGATTCTCAAATGACTTGTAAATCTGCTTGTTGTTTTAGGGTGTATTTTAGTTGAATGACTCAAAGTAAGTTCATGTCATTCGCATGTGTCTCACCATCCTTTTT